TATTATTAGAAAAGATTTCTATTTTAAATAAATGCTCTTCTTTTGAACTTTTTATTCATCAAAGAATCCTGAAAAAAGTATCACAGCTTCCAAAAAAATATGAAGCAGCACAACTGATAATAAATCAGCATATTAGAATGATTTCTGAAGATCATGTGACACTGAAGACTGGAGTAATGATGCTGAAAATTCAGCTGCGCATCACAGAAATAAATTAGATTTTAATGTATATTAAAATAGAAAAACGTTATTTTACATCATAATAATATTTCACAATTTTTTACAGAAATGTATTTTTGATCAAATAAATGCAGCCTTGATGAGCAGAAGAAACTCCTGTAAAAACATTAAAAATCATTCTGATCCCAAACTTTTGACCGATAGTGTATAATAACCTGGCCGTTCATCACAGCATTGGCCGATATTAAGAGCACTAAATGATTTGTGTTTTTCAGGTGAAAGCAATTATCATATGAAACCAATCTCGCCGGTGATTTGTTTTCTCCAGCGAGGGGAGCATTGAGCAGCTCATATTCACATCAGAAGCGTTTGTTCGTTATTTCACGAACACTCATCAGCCTAATGCTTTCAGTTTATCCACACGTCTGATCCCATTCATCGTGTCGCACATGCACGTGTCTATGAATTCACAGTGCAAATGTCATTAAAGAGAAAAATATCTCTAATATTCATGCTCGTATCCGAAGAGAGAGAGCTTATCGAAACTGAAATTGTTATAAAGCTGTTCAACTGCTGCCTTGAACTGAAGAATTAACGCATTTATAACGCATAATATTGTTTTACTAGTGATTTTGACTTTAGTTCAGATTTGCAATTAACCCTTTGTTCTAGTCAAAAGTGACCAACCTTTTGAAAATTGCTGTACCAAATCTTGTGTTCGGCTTGCTTTCCTTCAATTAGCACAGGTTTTGTGTTCCTTTTTGAAACTGATTGATCATAAGCCTCACTGATCTAAACTTATGCATCTCAGTTTTGGAGTGAAAAAGCATTATTTGTAGATAATTTTGCCAATATGCACTCAGAAATGGCATGGTTCTTCAGTAGTGATTCAAGGACCCCAGAAAAGCTTCATTTTGTCCTTTGTTTATAGAATAAAACTGAAAATGTCTTTAATTCACCAAAACAATAGACGTTTTATGAGTTTTTTTGATGCTCTTTTTCATATGATAAACAGTACGTTTTGGGTCAGTGAGATTTTATTATATTATTTTATTTTATTTAACTTAACTTAACTTAACTTAACTTAACTTAACTTAACTTAACTTAATTTAATTTAATTTAATTTAATTTAATTTAATTTAATTTAATTTAACTTAATTTAATTTGTAACACTTAAGGTTCTTTCTGCTAACATTAGTTAACTACATAACATTAACATGAACTAACAATATAATTAAATTAATCTAATTTCATTTAAGTTAGTATAATTTAATTTATTTTAATTTGTAACTTAAGGTTCTTTCTGCTAACATCAGGTAACTATATAACATTAACATGAATAAACAAAGAAAAATACTTCTTAAGCATTTATTCTTTTTTTATTAATTTTAATTTCAACATTTACTAATGCATTATTAAAATCAAAATGTATATTATTAAAAAAATAGTTAAAATGTTAATATTATTTAATGGACTAGAGCTAACATGAACTAACAAAGAACCATTTTAATTTTATTAACTAACATTAACACAGATTAATATATACTGTTATGGATGAACTGTATTGCTCATTGTTAGTTAATGCTATTTAATGTGTTAACTAGCATTAACTAATGGGACCTTATTGTAAAGTACTACCATTTAATGTTATACTTTCAATTCGGCCAGGCATCAAATTGATCAAAAGACATTTATAATGTTACAAATGAAATGTTTGTTCTGTTATTTAACAAATGCTCATCATCCTAATGCTTTAAATTTGGCAGTTTATCCGCACGTTTTTTTATTAACAAGCAGTGCATGAGCTCAGATCAATAAGGCTTATTATCAGTCAGTTTCAAAAAGCAATACAAAACCTGTGCTAACTGAAAGAAATCAAGTAGACAAAAAGATTGAATCCAAGATTTAGTAATAATATGGCATAACGTGAAATTTATAAGCAATTTTGAATGCAATAACAGCATTTTTCAGAAAAAGAACATCCTCTCCGGGTCAAAATGACTGGAACACAACATGAAGGTTAAAGAAACACAGAAACTGATATTGATCATAATTAAGATGAACTGTGAATGTTGATTGTGCAACATTCATTTGTGTACTGATGATGAATAACAGTGAATAGCTTGCCAAAAATACTAATTTAGCTGGTTTACAAGGAGACAGGTGACATTTCCCATTATTATATTATATGTGCAGAACGACAGTGATTAATACAGAAATAAATCATTAATCACACAAACAAAGTGTATCCCTTGCACTTCATTTTGTTAGGGCGCTATAAAGTGTCCCGTCATTGTCGGGATGCAAAATCGAGAGAAAGAAATAAACTCATCCGGTGCGTTCACTTCATCCTGACCGTCATAATTACAATTTTAAAACTCGTAAATAGGAACTTTGCAGAAGCTTCATAAAAGCAGAAGAGAAATGCAGCCTTTAGATGATAACTGCGGCGTTAGACTGTTTGCCGATTTACAAATGAAAAGCTCTACTGAAGCAAAGTAACAATGCGAGAAACTCACCCCATCTTTTTTATCTCTCTCTAGAGCTCCGTTGAGGAAATCCATCGCTACATCTTCATTTTCATCCAACCACTGGATAACAAACGGCTCAAACCACCTGCAGAGAGACAATACAACACAACAGTCCTCAGATCCAACGCCACGGGCTGAGACTGAAGAAAAACTCTGGCACACATTGTTCTGCTCTTTAGACACTGTATGCATCAGCTTCATGCTGTGGGATTTGACACCCTATTTTATCATTCAGAGACAAATGATGTGCCAAAGTTTCATGCTTAGCAGTTTTTTTTTTAAGCTTTTATTTGGTTCATCTTAGGTCAAACAGAAAGTAACAATAACGTAAATATAGTAATATACTATAAATAATAGATATACACATATCTACATATACAACCATACATTAATTCACATGAAGAAAAAACAAAAAAAACAGGTAATCATAGTTATACATTCAAATAAAGAAATAAAGAAAGAGAAAAAAGGAAAGAAAAAGAATAAATCAATGAATAAATAAAAAAAATAAAATTAAGATATTTTTTTATTAAGATAATCTCCTTAAAATATTTCAGAAAAGAGCTCAAGACTCTCAAAAATGCTTAGCGTTTTAAGGGTCTGAATGATCCAGGGTTTTTATCGGTACCTAATATTCATTCATTCATTCATTCATTCATTCATTCATTCATTCATTCATTCATTCATTCATTCATTCATTCATTCAGTATACATACATTAATCACATGTGTATTGTATTGTATTTATTTATTTAGTTATATAATTTTTTATTTTATTTATGCTCAGATGCATATTGCCTGTTATAATTTAAACAGATACATATTGAATTTATTCTTTCATTCATTCATTCTTTCATTCAATATACAATAAACAGATGCATATTGCATATTTAATAAGATGCATATTGAACTCGTTCATTATTTTATTTTATTTTATTTTATTAGTTCCTTAGGTCAGTTAATTTGATATAATATCCCATAATATCTAATCTTCTATTATTTCTTTCCTTTATACTGCAAAATATGCAATATTTACACTGTTAACATACTATCACAATATTTTCGTTAATTGAAATGAAGCAAAACAATTTTTTTTTTAATAAAATAAAATAAAATATTTAAATAAACAACTTAGATAAAACAAAAATCCAAAAATGACAAAAAAAGACTATATATATATATATATATATATTAAAGCTAATCACACACACACACACACACACACACACACACACACACACACACACACAGAGTAAACATATACAGAAGAGATTGTATAAGGATGTTCAAGACTTTCAGCAACAGTATAGACATCCTCTGAAAACATTTCACTTGCATTAGACAAACAAGCATTCGCTCTGTCGAGTCACTGAACATCGTAACAGACAAGCAGAAATGAGACACATATTTTTAAATCAAGTGAAGCGTTGTGGACGGCCGGTGGCATGCAGAATCACACTAATAGCTCTGCTAATGTAATGAACCTCAGCAGATCTGTACAGACTGCAGCAGCTCACTGTTATTGACAGTAATGAGGGGATTAATAAGATGGCATTTAGCTCGCTATCGTACAGTTTTTTTCAACTGATTACACACATTTTCAAAACGTTGCCTGTTTTTTTCAAAACTTTACACACAAATCCAAGAATTGCACACACAAAATGCAAAATGCCTCACATCTCTTATAAATATCACAAACACATCTCAAAAGCAAACATTTGCAAACACCTTTGCCATAATATTAATTCCTGTTAGATTTTTGTGGTACATAGAGAATTGTGTGTTGTGTTTTGCAAAAAGTGTTTTATGAAATTGAAACTCAAATTAGTGTAGGCTATGGTTTTGCAGATCTGGTGTGTGCTTCTGCTGTTTGAGTGTCGGCTTTCAGAAACTGTGTGACAAATAAAGATTTTGTGTGTAAGCATTTGAAAAAAAAAAAAAACGTAATAGTGCTAGATTTGACTAAAAGTAGCTCCTTAAATAGTAATACGGCTAATAATGTGATCGTGTTTTAAACTTGAGCAGGTGGTTTGGCTAATCCGTGCATGAGAGAGAGAGCGCTGAAGAGGCTAAAGTAAGTAACAGCTCCGTTATTCCGGTGAAAGCAATTGTGTGTTGTGTTTTGAAAAAGTGTTTTTATGAAATGAAAAAAGGCTGAGTCAAAGGCTGAGAATATAGTGCATGGTTTTGCAGATTTGGTGTGTGCTTCTGCTGTTTGAGCGTCAGCTTTCAGAAATTGTGTGACGAGTAAAGATTTTGTGTGTAAGTAGTTGAAAGAAACTGTAAATATTGCTCTATGTGAAGGTTTCCTAAGCACACATTCACTGCTCAGGAACGCTGCAGAGAGATCAGTCTGACATCTGCAGTAGGGTGTCATTTTTACAGCCATTTCTCATTTGCAACATGTCCCTGAATGTCAGGACGACATTTAGCAGATGCTCTTGCCGACATTTATTAGTTTGAATGTATATTACTTTTAATCAATTTTATCAGATGCTTGTACATAAATCTGACCTTTAAAATGCAATGTTTACCAGCAGCGATATTTCACAGATGTCTCATCAATATACACATGCTTTCTGGGGACTGTGTGTCCAGTTTATCATGTAAGATTATGATAATGAGAGTATAATATTGAGACTAGTCATATGGTTACTTGTGCCTAAGTGCTTAAAAGAAAAGGTAACAAAAAAACAAAAAAAAAACTGTCCCCAGATAGATAGATAAATGAATAAAGGAACGAACGAACAAACGATAACATCTGATTAAATTATGGAGAACAGGCAATATGCATTTGAAAATAAAAATAAATAAAAAACATTAACTAAATAAATAAATATGCATTTGATTAAATTATATATAACAGGCCACATGCATCTGATGGATGGATGGATAGATGGATAGATGGATAGATAGATAGATAGATAGATAGATAGATAGATAGATAGAAATATGCATGACATGGCACATTTTAGTTTGTATTGCTGCTGCAGGAATCATTTTTAAAACCATTTTTACCATGTTTGCAAAGCAACACTGTGTTAATATTCTTTAAAGAATATATTGTTATTCTTATTTTCTTCTCAGTATCTGCAATTAATTCAGCTTCAATTGTTTAACCCACAAATTCCTTAATTAATGTAGTAATTAATTTCGATCATGAATCAATTTCAATTAATTAATTAATTTAATTCAACTGATTTCAAACTGAAACATACCTAAAACCTTAGCATTATTCCTTTGGTGCCTTGCAACTTCAGGAAACGCAATCTTTTTTTTTTTTTTTCCTGTCACTTATGTTAATAAACACGCTGGGCGGATCTGGAGGAGATTTTTGATTGACAGCTGTGTGGCTCTTCCCTGATGTCCCGTCCCATCTGTCCTACCGCCTCTCCACGCTCATAACTCACATTAATGAATGAGTGACTTT